AAACACCCATAGCCCTCTTCTTCCTTCTTAAAGTGGTGGCTAAAATCTCTCTCTTTCTATAGCAAATGGCACAAGGCTGTCTGAGTCCTCTATTCAATAAAAACATTTTAATTCATTCTTTCCATCCTAACCACAAAATTAGAAAACTTTGACCATAATATTGGACCATAATACGGAATTACTACTTGGCTAAGAGCCACATCCCTCACCGGAACCAGCAGGCCCAAGGAGCACCAAGCAGAGTTCCATCTGATTTGTAGATACAATACACAGGAGGGGCGAATAGTGCGTTCATTTATCTTTTTGAGACTGTGCACTGTATGGCAATGCTTTTCATCTTGAGCTCTTGATTGTGTTTTCCAGGGTACTTTTTAACATATGGATTGTTTGAAAGCTTTAAACATAAAAAATTTCAATTATAAATTTCCTTGAGGGGGAAAAACACATTTTCAAAATCATCAAAGCTGGTTTCTGGAAGGGTTATTAGTTTATATAGTTTATAAGATCATCTCAGAAACCCGGACAAGCATCTTCAGGCATTTGAAGACACAGTTTTAATTTTTATCTAAAAGCTTTGTGTTCGACAAACTGGAGAACTGGTCTTTTTTTAAAAAACAAAATTCTAGTCTTGGTAAATCCAAACTGGGGCTATTGGATGCTGTTACCATGAGAAAAGAATTTTATCTAAATTGTGAAAAAGTCAATATCTTAGAGCTGCTATTTGATAGCAAAACTATCAATAGCTCTGTGTCTCAAATGCTGATTCACAAATAACTTTAATACAATGGATAATCAATGGAATAATAAGTATAATAAATTTAGCATTGAAAAAAATACTTTCCAACTTTACTGTTTGGAATTACAAGCTGAATTTTCAAAATAGAAAAAAATATAAAACCAATACCATATATTATAAATGCAAGATGTAATGTTAATAAATTTCATATTGATAAATGTGCTTTATTGTCTGGTGAAACTCTTCGGGCTTTTATAGAACAATCTAATTTAGGATGTCATATAGATGATCAGATGTCATCCGTGGCCCAGGTCCCTTGCTTGTTCTTCCCTTTCCTACCAGCAGGAGGTGCAGTGAGAACAATCGTCTGTTGTGAAAACTTGGCAGTGGCCTGTGGATGAGCTGGAAATCCTGATCCATCACCTTGAAGCTGTGGGAACCACAGTTACCTTTGGCCCTTAATCTTCCCCAAACTGGGAGATCCTGTACTCAAGTGGAAAAACAATAGGGAGGGAGGTAGCAAATATGATCATACAACTAGTTGAATTTTCAACCCACATGCCGGAGAGAAGGAAGGTGGTTCTTGCCATGGTTCCAAAGAAGGCTAGATCTACTCTTCTAGGAGACTCAACAAAGGGAGCTTTCTATTTCCTGTCAAGGATACTCAAGGAGTCACATGGGTATTACTCTGGGCTTCTCTTTACTTCCTATTTGCCCTGGGCTTAGAGATGAAGCCCAGAGCCAATATTATTTTCGAATTTTCACTGAAGTTGCCTGAAGATCTTCCCTGGTATTCATAGGACACTTTTTCTGATTCTTTTATTCTTTCCAGTTTTATTTCACTTCTTCCATACAGAAGTTTTGTTCTGGAATGCAATTGAATAGGATGCTGAGTAATATATTCTGTCCTGCCAAGAGACATTCACACATGCCTCTTCTCTCGAAAGAATCTGTGAAGATACTCTGGAATTCCCTGAACTTCCAGTGACTTGCCTGTGGCTTAGAAGAGCCCCAACAAAACACTCCAGTGGCAGGAGTCACAGGGTCAACAGCTAGGAAAGTAATACAGTGATTGCTAAAGACTATTGATGGATGTCACTCCTGTTGGGCACTGAGAGAAGACAGGGGGAGAAAGAGTGTGGAGATCCTTTCAGACAGAAGATCTGCGACTTAGTAGGATCTCACTGGGCCCCTCAGTCTCTATTTATAGTCCATATCAGCCACCAACTCAGGAATCTGAGAAAGGGAGACCTGAAGGGGTCAACAAGTAAGCCATCTTCTCTGGCTTCAATGTAAGTAATGATACCAGAGGTACTGGAGGCTGGGCGTGACAACACTAGGCACTCTCGATAGCCCTAGATGGCGATCAGTGAGGTAACTGACCTGCAGAATTCTCAAGATCCACCTACAGTTTTCAGACATTTTTTTTTGGGGGGGGGGGTCTGGTCGTGGGGCCTGAACTCTGGGCCTGGGCGCTGTCCCTCAGCTCTTCAGCTCAAGGTTAGCGCTCTATCACTTGAGCCACAGTGCCACTTTCAGCTTTTTCTGCTTATGTGGTGCTGAGGAATCGAACCCAGGGCCTCAGGCATGCAAGGCAGGCGCTCTACCACTGAGCCACCTTCCCAGTCCCACAAGTTGCTTTTCTTCAGCATAGCTGTATCTTGATAGCCCTTCCCCCTCTTGTAAAGCCCCCATTCTCCATCTATATTATTACATGTGCTTTTAAAGGGATAGTTCCTTCCACTCAGTAACCTCCTCACCTCTCCTCTCATCCCCAGTATCTCCAAAGATGGTTCTGATGAGCCATGCTTTCTAGTATTCATTCTTGTATAATTTCCTCCCCTTTCATTGGGGCTAACCCTATGACCTGCTTTGAACCCAGTATGTGGTAGACATGGCCCTGTGTTACTTAAAAAGTTAGTTATAAGATTATGGGCCTTGTGTCCAATGCTACTTCTTGGAGAAGCCAGCTGCTTTGTAATCAGATTATCTCATGATTTCTATGTTGTAAGGAAGCCCAAACTTACCATGTGGTGAGAGAGGTGCAACCATTCTTCAACTGTTCCAGTAACCCCAAGTACAGAACCAGACATGACATCCAGCCCTGTCAGTCATTCAGATGGTACCAGCCCCCATTGCTATCTGACAGTAACCATGAGACCACCAGAGAGCAATCACCTAAGCCCAGTTAACATATAATCAGGGGAGACAAATTTCTATGTAAAGCACTACAGCTGGCCATTCAGTTGTGCTCAGGAGGCCGAGGCAGGAAGATCTTGAGATCAAGGCTAGCGTGGGCTACATAGTAACACTCTAGCAAACAAATAAGAAAAGAAACAAATACTAGTGCTTATGTAGCAATAGCTATTTGGAACACTGGGTAACATGACACTAGGTAACATGACAATAGCAAGCCATTTTCCATTTCTATATTTGGTCTTTAATGTGTGAGCATGACTTTCTTTTCTTCATATGAAATTAGGGTTATTGATAGCCATGATTCATAGAGTCATGATTGGATTCCATGATTGCTAGAAAATTTGAAAACGCCTTCATAGTAGAAAACACTTCTTTGTACCCCAAGTTCGACAAGACAAAGTTTGAATTTTTCAAAAGGAACATTTACTAGGAAACTAAAGGGCAACCAAACAGAATGGAAGAGACAGAGACAGAGTTGCAAATGGGCTGAAGGAATTCAAATGTATAAGCAGCCCCTCACCACAGCTACACTGGCTAGGCAAAGCTTTCCAGACACAGAGCCACCTGCCTGCCACTTGGGCAGTACTGTTTGCCTAATAACTCCTACAGTTACCTTTGTTTCATACCAAGGAGCCAGTAGCATACTCATACCCATCCCAGGGCTGCTAGCTCTGGGCAGGAGGATCCTGAGGTGGGAACAATAGGCACATCTGCCCCAGGGTCTCCAACCCAGGCTCTCAGAGCCAAGGACATGTCAAAGCTTAATGAAATGGCTGCCTAATATCTATTAGAGCCAGACCGGCTTCTTTGGGACCATTCTTCTGGGCTCATCTGCCTGTTTCTAGTGATAATATTTCCTCTCACTATTCTGCTGGCACTCACCCTTCCTGCTTTGGTTCTAAACACTGATGTGGTAGAGAAAGTTTGAATGGGAAGGAATAGGTGGGGGAGGGCCTGGGACAAATAAAGTTTGAATTTTTCTCATGTCATCAGATAGAGAGGCAGAACTGAGATTGGCATGATTGATGAGAGATGGATCGGGTAAGCTGGGGAACGCAGGAATGCTTGAGTGAACTATTAGTGCCTCACACAAACCAAGGCCTCCACCCTTTTAAGGTCTGACATCATGGTAGGGGTTGAACTAGGCAGCAGTAGCAGGAGACCTTTCTTACAACACACAATGATCTGACTTCCACCCAGTGAGTCCCATGTAGAAATAAAGATAATGATTTTTTTTTCCCAACACTGAATTCTGCTGCAGAGATGGAAGGAAAGGGAAATGTTATTTTGGAATAGTGGGGCAGATGCATGGGGCAGGGGGGAAGTGCCTTGCACTTCTAATGAGAGACCGAGGGACACTGGGTGCAGGCCTTCGGTCCCTCGGGGCGTTCGGAGGCCTTTGGTTTCATTTCTTTGGAGCAGAAGCAATAAGGATGAGGCATATAGCTGGCAGTAGATTGGCAAGAAGGAAGTTGAGTGATGAAGGAGCTGCTAGGGGAGAGAGCCCTTGACCTTCACTCTTCCAGATATTTCCATTCCCCAATGCTATGAAAGTGAAATGGTCTGAAGGGAAAGGAGAACCATTTTCTGTGGCTGCCCAAATCTAAACTCTGGTCTGTTGTATATGGGAATACCCCCAGAAGGCGTGAAGGCCAAGTTGGCCCCAAAGCTTGCCTTCTGCTCTTTGGAGACCACTGTGTTCATCTCTCAGTGTGTCATCTCACACAATCCTACACCTGTTTCCTAGATAGTTCCCTGGGTGTAAGAGGGGAAAAGGTACTGCAGGATGCATATGCCACTGAGAGATATACCTCTCTAAGGATGACATTGAAGTTTATTCTAATAACACCAGCAGCTGAAAGGAAGTGGCTGCTGGCTATCCAGATAATAATATTCTAGAATCTCAGGACAAAGACTCTGGTTTTAGTGGGAAAGAAGATCACGGTGAACTGGTACTCTGCCGTGTGCATGGGAGGGGGCAGTGAGTTGGTTGTGAACTAACCCTCCTTGCACTAGATTTTCTCCAGAGGAATGGCCAGCATGCCCTAGTATTCTCTAGGTGGGGGATGGGGGCAGAGAGGTGGAGAGGCAATTCTCTGTAAAGTTAAATAATTTCTTAGGATGAAATTATCCTCTGAGGACAGTCATTAGCTCAATGCTAGTGGAGTTTGAACTGAAATTTGCTGCCTATTTAGCACCTGGATATATTTTAAAATATTCTGTCCTTCCAGGGCATTTATACAAGAAACTTCATATCAGAGTAACCACTGCCAAGGCAGGTGTTATGTCTCCATTACCAAGGGCCTCACATTAATCACCCAGAGTCCTGATACTCTGGGGACTCTCTCAATGTTAACTTGCTTCCTTCCATACACCAATCTGGGTTCTGGACAATGAGAGATGATCTTCTACTACAGTATATCACCTTGGGCCACCTGAAGTAGGTAGCTAGACCATTAGGGTTTACCAAACCCGATTTAGAAGGAGGGCCAGTTACTGCTGTGGTTACAGCTGAGTATTTGGTCACTGGTGTTGTCCAGGTGTTGCTTAGATGGGTAAAGTTATCTTTGTTAGATGGTTGTCCTACTATGTCCTTGGCACAAGCAGTCCTCTTATCCGTAGTCATCGTTTCTGTAAAGAGAAGCAAAAAAGAATGACACGGTGCTCAATTATACATTTTCAGTGGATACTAGACAAGTACTGGACACTGTAATCTGATGAATGATGAGAATTTGAAGACCATGAGTAAGATACTTACCTTGACTTCAAAGATGTCTCAGGTGGGAAGAGGGAATTAAAAAAAATATAGATAGATAGATGGATATTATATCTGCTATAGGAGCCCTCAAAGGAACTAAGGAGGTCTTCTGGGAGGATTTTGAAGAGTAAATCTTGAACTGTGCCCTTTAGGACAAAGAGCAACCCATGAGTAGAGAAGGAGGAAAGGCCATTTTGGCAGAGTAGAGATCTCATGCAAAATCACAAAGGCAAGAAGGGCATGGTATCATGGATTAGTGGGCTGTAATATTAGAAATGGTGTGTTAGCAAGCATGATTGGGCTGGAAAGTGGGGGTGCAAGTGGTGCAATAGTGCAATATCTATATCTTGTTCCTCAGCTGTGAAGAGTGGACTTGCCTAATGGAGTCTCTGGCTTGGACTAGCAGGCTCTGTTGTGTTGCACACTCAGCCCAGCATTCAACTGAAATTCAACTCAAGGCACTTCCCAGTACAGATTAAAGGTTAATGCTATATTCACAGAAAGTCACAATCACTTTCATGGATATGGTGATAACAAGAAAATTATATATTTTCTTGATCCATTCATCTACTGAGGGACATCTGGGTTGGTTCCATATCTTAGCAATGGTAAATAAGGCTGCAATAAACGTAGTCTTGCTGATAGCTTTAGTGTGGTCTTGTTTTTGATCATTTGGGTAAAGAAAATGTGGTATATATACACACATACAATGGAATTCTATGCCTCCATCAGAAAGAATGACTGCCCCATTTGTTAGGAAATGGAAAGACTTGGAAAAAATTTTATTAAGTGAAGTAAGCCAGGCCCAAAGAAACATAGGTCCCATTGCAATAACTAGTATATGTCTGAGTCAAGCAGAAAAGGTCAGATAAGTTGATGTTAGGGAAATGAACCCTAAGATATGTATTCAAATGTTTTTTTCTTTCATATGATTGTTTCTAACACATTTATAAGATTATTTCTTTGTTGCTTTGTATGTCCCTCCCCCACAGCATAACCCCTGCTTTTACTGTATTTGATGTTGGTATAATTTGTGGAGGGGAAGGGGAAAAACAAATCGTTTAAATAGGGATACAGGTGGACCCATTGCAACAATGAGATGTACAAGTTGTTATGTTGAAAACGAACTTTACAACTTTGGTAGGCAGGGGAGGAAGGTTGGGTAGGGAGGTGGGGGAGGAAGGTTGGGTGGGGAGGGGTGGGGGGGAAGATGGGATGGGAAGGGGAAACAAAGGAGGAGGCTACAATGCTTGATAAGAAATGTACTCATTATCTTGCTCATGTAATTATAACCCCTCTGTACAGTATTTTCACAATTTAAAAAAAAGAAAATTATACATAAACTACAAGAGAGCAACACACATTTTCCAATTGAAATATAGGGACTACTTTGCAGAGATTGAGCTCCCACATGAAGCTATAATAAAAGTGATCAATGCCAGAGCATACACTGTTGAAGAAAAGTCACATCTGACCACGATCCTTGGTCTTGAAGAATGTGTATATGTATGAGTATTCACACATCTGAGAAAAGAGATATTCATTTCTGAATTTTTCAGAGAAGGATAAACGTATATTTGTAATCCCATTGTTAATCAAATTCTATTTCCCAGATCAGATAGTCTCTAGAGTGCTCTGTGAAGGGCTCTAGTTTTGAGTCCAACTGCCACATTAGGCTCTGGCCCCATATTTTCCTGCTCAAACAGGAACCTAGCTTTACAGACCCCATTTGTTAGCACTTGAGTCCTTCCCTATCAGGGAAGGCGAGCTACCAACATACTCTGCCCCATCGATGAACGTGGTCTGTGCTGCTATTAGCCAAATGGGCCATGTGCCTCATTCTCTCATGTGTAACCATTATGTTCCGGGCACTAGGATATGCACTTTACAAATTCTTTTTTTTTTTTTTTTTTTAAATTTTATTTTATTTTATTTGAGAACATACTGTACAGAGGGGTTACAATTACATGGGCAGGATAATGCATACATTTCTTACCAAGCATTGCAGCCTCCTCCTTTGTTTACCCTTCACCTCCCTTCCCAGCCTCCCCCCTCCCTCCCACCCAATCATACCCCCCCACCCCCACCGACATTGTAAAGCTGGTTTTGACATGACATTTTGTACTTCTCATTGTTGCAACAGGTCCGCCTGAATCCTTAAACGACTTGTTTGTCCCCATCTCCTCCACATGTTATACTGACATCAAATATAGTGAAAGCGGGGGTTACACTGTGGGGGAGGGACATACAAAGCAACAAAGAAATAATCTTATAAATGCGTTAGAAACACATGCATGAAAGAAACAAAAACATTAAAATACATATTTGAGGTTTCGTTTTCCTAACATCACATTATCTGACTTTTTCCGCTTGACTCATACCTATACTAGATATTGCAAATAAGGGAAACCATGGGACCTATGTTTCTTTGGGCCTGGCTTACTTCACTTAATATAATTTTTTCCAAGCCTTTCCATTTCCTAACAAATGGGGAAATGTCATTCTTTCTGATGGAGGCATAGAATTCCATTGTGTATATATACCACATCTTCTTGATCCATTCATCTACTGAGGGGCATCTGGGTTGGTTCCATGTCTTAGCTATGGTAAATAATGCTGCAATAAACATAGTTGTGCTGGTAGCTTTAGTGTGGCCTTGTTTGTGATCATTTGGGTAAATGCCCAAAAGTGGGATTGCTGGGTCATTGGGGAGCTCTATGTGGAGTCTTTTGAGGAACCTCCATACTGCTTTCCAAAGTGGTTGAACAAGTTTACATTCCCACCAACAATGAAGTAAGGTTCCTTTCTGTCCACATCCCCTCCAGCATCTGTTGTTGTTAGAGTTCTTGATTTTTGCTGTTCTAACTGGAGTGAGGTGATATCTCAATGTTGTTTTGATTTGCATTTCTTTTATGGCTAGGGATGTTGAACATTTCTTCATGTGTCTATTGGCCGTCCTTCTTTCTTCTTCAGAGAAGCTTCTCTTTAAGTCTTTCGCCCACTTACTTATTGGGCAGTTGTTTCTTTGAGGATTTGTTGTTGGGTGGTTTAATTTTTTGAGTTCCAAGTATATTTTAGATATGAGACCCTTGTCCGTTGTATGGCTAGTAAAGATCTTCTCCCAGTCCGTGGGCTTTCTACAAATTCTTAAAAGAACCCCATGAGCTTCTTTATTTGTAACATATAGAGCTGTAGAGAGATTGATTTGCACTAAATCTCATTATTACTGTCAGAGCGGAGATTAAATCCAAGACTTCTAATTTCAAAGTCCAAGCTTGAGCAACTGCATCAAATGTATGCTGTAGGCCTATGCTACACATCTGATGCCTTTAAAACTGTTTTATATGCCTTGTCATTCACTTCTTGGCTACACATTCTAACCCTAGCTAAATAAGCTACCTTTAAGGAACCCTAGACCATGAGAGCAGCCTGTAGTCAGTGTTGTACCCAATGAATGATTTCTAGTTTCTTAGTTTCTCTGGATTACCCTGGTTCGTAGTCTGTATGGGTAATGATTTTACCCACACTCCCAGTTCTATGTGCAATGTCATTATTTTGTTATGACTTTTGTCTCACTTTGCCTTTAAATGATTCTAACTGCTTTGGGTATGGCTCTGTCCAAGTGCCCAGCCTTAGGGGCCATTTCTGTACCTGGTTTGTTATGGTCTGGAGTCTCCTCAGGAGGCTAGGCTATGACCTCAACCAAGTGTTTACCAGTCTTCATAGCCAACAGTACCACTAGTGGAGATCGTGTTGGCAGTGGGTAAGTCATAGCACAGCTCCCATCTGACCTTTCTATCTGGATTTGCTCATTTGATGGATTTCTTTGAGTGTACAATTACCAGAATCAAGCAATCAAGCACAACTCCTGGGCATGCTATACAGTGGCCTGCTGGTTTGTCCCTTTCAAGTGAAGCTCTTTATCTGGGAGAGTTTTCTAGGCCTACACCCATGTGGGTACTTGATCCTGTTTTATTCCTCTGGAAAATGCCATTGAGGCTCCAGAATGTTTAGACAGGGACTGAAGCCACAAGATGAGAGAAGAAGGGAGTTTTGATAGAACTAATGGTGTGGCCGATCATCTCTACCAGTGGTCTTACAAAGGAAGCTTCTTAGAAACGAATGTATTCCAGGGAAAGTCATACAGTCAAGACAAATCTGAAGAACCTAGTTCAGTTGTCTCAGAAGAAGGGCAATTTTGAGTATGGAATAGTTGGTTTAACTAATCTCTGTCTGTCTTATCTTTGGGGATGAAAAAGACTGAAAAACACAATCAAACAAAACAAAGCAAACATACTACAACATCTTTCTAACTTATATCACCCAATTGGTTATTTCTCATCCGAGATTTTCATAGAACAAGGTGTGAGAAAAGATTTTTCTGTAGTTCATAGCAGCATCGACCCAGATGGATGTGGTGGTGGATGGGTCAATAGTCTATGGTATAAATGCCAACAAAAGCAATGGTGGTATAAGCACATTGGCCTTGCTGGCTCCAGTTATAACACAGGCCCATTTCAATGTGCAGAGCACAACATAGTGTCCTAGTACACCACTTATCAGACTCAGTAGCTTCCCAGGCAGCACTGTAGCTTTGGAAGGTACCAGGAACGTTAGCAGCATCGACAGGAAGTGGTGATGACTATCCTCTCTGAAATGAGAGGATTTTTAAAGTGAATTCAATTGTCCTGAGACATAAGAATTTGATTTGAACTAAATTGAATTGAAACCAAAGATGAGAGCTGTCCCAATAAAAACTATAATGTGCAGTGACATTTCACTCGCAAAAATGACAGCTGATGTGAGACAGGTCAAAGAAACTGACCCCAAATTAAGAACACGAGAAGACTGAGTGGAATATTAGATAAAATCT